AACTCACTGACTGTTATAAAGTATGTTCAGACATTTCACATAGCAATAAGAACACTTAATTACTTTATAAAACAAACTTCACTGCAAGGAAAATTGAACATTTTATTGCTATGGTATATTTCTGAGAAGAATATATAAATGTTATTTCAACTGACGACACTCAGTAACAAAAACCTGGATAGACGCATCTCAAACAATAGTACCACAAATTTTGTTCATTTTCAAGAGAAGTCGCTACAAGTTACATTTCAATTTTTCTTTGAACAGTCAGATGTCAGCTTATCTGGAAAGAAAATAATGCAGTTATTAATAAAAAGAGTTGAAATTAGTGCATGCAAGATTTCACAGCTCTAGCATCACTTCTTCGTAGTCAGCCTATGAACTTTTCAACCCACCCTCGTAACAGTCCCCGTCTGTCAGTGACAATTGATACTGACAGAATAAAATGGCGGACAGAATAACAATTGTTAACGAATTTCTGACAATTGACAATACTTTTCTTACTTGATTTATAACGCGTTTCTCAAGCAAAAGCACTTACAATGAATTATTATCTCAGATGTTAGTCTTCTTAGATCATGCCGAACACCTCAGTGCATAGGGCGATAATTCTTCTCTACCGTTGTCAATTAGCGGCTTCCTATTTTAGTTCTTGTCATCGACGGCTTAAGGTCGGGATGTCATGCTTAAACATTCTGCGTCATGTTATTCGTAGCTTACCTCTTTTAAGTCTCCTCTCTGGTATTTCGCAAATCATAGCAACTTTTGCCTGCCTGTATTCAGCAAATCTTAATCTGCATTCATCTACAAAATTTTGCAAACTGTGCGTCTTCTTAGCACTTCTGCATTTGTGTTCACGGCGATACATCATGAAGTTTGTTCTAATAAGATACCACCAAAATGAATGCGTTTGTTTTCGAAATGAAAGCTACAGAAAAAAAAATGGCTACCTCCCATCTTTAAAATTTACCAAAAATCAGAAAATAATCTGACTTAAACGACACTTTCAGCACTTTTACTGAATGGATGTTTGAGATCATTTTCACCCTCTTTCGATGTATCGTTTAAATTTAGGGTGGGTTGATCAAGAATTTATTTTTCTTACAGTTATATAAAGAAAAGAAAAAATCCATGAAGATGTAATTTCGGTAAAACTACAATGCAGTACCAAATGTGATAAAAATGGTTTTGGGGTGGCGAAGAGGAGAAGAGAGAACGTTAAATCTCGTATCCCTAGTATTATGAAAGGGGCAAAAGAAAAAAAAGAGTTAAAGTTGATTATTTGTCGCCACTTTATAAATTATTATTCCGATTTTTTCACGAATACAGATGTGTAAAAATATACTATACTAAAGATTTATTTAGTAGTCTGAAAAAAAGATAGAAAAAACTCAAAAAACAATTAATTAAAAAGCAATTGAAAACATTTTAAATACCACATCTAACTTTAAAATATTTTTTCGGGTAATTGTGGGTTAGCTATCGTCACTTTTTTAAAATGTGTTTTTTTGGGTTATCTGTCATCACCTTTTAATTTACATAAATTAAAAGGTGCCGACAGTTAACCCGCAAATATATATATATATATATATATATATATATATATATATATATATATATATATATATATTATTAAAAAGAGTCGACAGATAACCAACAACTACCTGAAAAAACTTAAGACTCTGTTACGAAATCTGAAAGAAATTTACATTTCACATAAAAAATAGTAAAACACAGAAAAAGTGATTATCACTGGTTAGGAATTAATAAACATGTCACTGTTAGAATAGTATTGTTATACAATATCGAATGTTTTTTTTATTCCAGTCACATATCTTTCAGTCTATTATGCACTGCTACAAAAAATCTTTAAAAAATTGCCGTTTCATAGGTCGATTTCAGTCGCGAAATGACTACTCACCACAAACATACGACAATTTGACACCAACATTCGGCGATTTAGAACCCATAAGGATGTCAAACACAATCACATGTACCTAAAATACTTACAAATGTAAAATAAAATAAGCTTTTTATCATAAAATTAAATTAGAATAATGTTTAAACCATTTTAAATAAGAGTATGAATCGCTGGTCGTAATGAAATTGGAGAAGTACAATTTATAGGGTTCGATTACCAAACAAGAGGTGCGTATTATGCGTGAGTAGAAGCATTTTCCCACACTTTCAGCACAATTTTAGAGGAGCGTATTATGGATGAAGGCGTATTATACATGGGGAATTACGGAACTTTATTTAGGAATCAATACAATGTGCAGGTTTTTTTTAAATTTGTCGGTTGTTTTTGTGCGTATCTACACGGATAAACCGATGTTTTCTTTATAGTTAATTTTGTTTCAGACATTTTCTCAAGAAAAGAAGAGATATGTATCATTACAATCAATTCAATGTTTTATGTCACATATAATGTATGTTAACATTTTATTTTATTTGTAACTACATAATTCCATGAACAATTAAAGGGAGACAACTAAGACATAAGGGAAACAACTCTCATATTAAAACAAAAAACATTCTATAAATTTGACTTTTTGGCTACTTCGAAGTGATGTAATGCTTAGCAAACTTATCTTACTAATTACGACTAAATAGTGAATTCGAGCGTCACTGGGTGCTCCATACTTTCAGCCTTGTACCACATCTAAGCTACACTTAGAAAATCATTTGGGAACTGCAAAGTGGTGCAATGGTTAGCAGGCTTGTCTCGCTAGCTGGATCAATTACGACTGAGTAGTGAATTCGATCCTCATTGGGTGCTTCGCACTTTCGTCCTAGTATCACATCACATAAATTTCCCTGCTTGTTTCAAATAGACGCCATTCTTTTTTCCAGTTCAGAAGGGTCGGGTAATCGGTTAATGCTTTGTTTTAAATCATTTTTTCCCAAGCAATGTGATAATGCCACTAAGACGCAAGGGGCTACTTACTAGAAGTGAAACAGAATAAAAAGTTTTAGAAGGAATCGGAGAGCCAATCCTAAACAGGAAACAAAGGATAAACTTCTACTCTTTTTAAAAAGACTAAGGAGGTGTGTGAACCGGGCGATACGCGAACCTATCTACTCCTATAGAAAATAAAATAAATAAATAAATAATTAGTAAATAAAATTTCAGATTTCAGTCGTGGGTGTTAGAAGCATAGAGTTAAAGTAGACTTCGGAAGTAACTGAAAATCCAATCCTCTACTTCTGTTCAAAACACCGGGGAGGTGTGTGAACCAGGCAATGCTACACTCTGATTACTATTCTATATTGAAGCAAAATATTAGTATACAGTATTATTACTAATATTAGTAGATTAGTTAATTTATAACTAACATTAGTTTATTAATGAATTAGTAATATATTAGTAAACGGGTCCTGTTGATTCTCTAAGCATAGCTTAGATGTGGCATAAGGCCGAAAGTGTGGAGCACCGAGTAAGGATCGAACTTGCTACTCAGTCGTAATTGATCTAGCAAGGCAAGCTTGCTAACTATTACACCACGTCGAAGTGTCCCAAATGATTTTCTAAGAGTAGATTAGATGTGGCACAAGGCCGAAAGTATAGAGCACTCAGTGAGAATCAAACTCATTACTCAATTGTAATTCATCTAGCGAGACAAGCTTTTTTATGTTAACCATATTAGATGTAACTCTTCTTCTGGAATTTATGAAGATTGAAGATAAACCTGACTTGCTAGTGTACAAGAATTTTCCTACGATTTGCCTTTTAAATTGGCATTACTTAAACAGACTGGTACATTCATAAAAAGCAGGTTTTTTCGGTAATAATTTGTATAGATTAAAATTCATTATATCTTCCTTAGATCGTGACACTTGCTAGAATCGAAAAATATTGATTTGTTATTGATTTAAAAGGAGCGTTCCCTGACTTATACAATTGTTGGCCTTAGACTAAGTCACTTAACTCAAAATTGTATTTATAAATGTCAAGTTTGAAAATGAGCTGAAATCATTGATATCTGCATATATTTTTTTTTAAATTCTGAAAATTTTAATGTGTTTTTTAAACATTTTGTTAAAATCTTTTTTTCGTATAGGACTTTTTCGGAAACACACAAGTTAATAATCATTGAAGACTAAACGGGCAAACACTTTTATATAAATTTTAGCTATAAAATTAAAAATGTATTTATGCGTTTGTTCGATATTTAAGAAGAAATCTTTTTGTAATCCCACCTAAAAAAGTTTATTTTCGTATACAAAACATCTAATGGATCGATATGACACTACACATCAATAGGATCCCGTGCTATATCGATCGGATAACAAATAAATATTTTTTGATTTTGACAAGTGACGTGTCATAAGGAGGGTCTAAAAAGAATGCTAGTCTAAAAAACTTATTTCCTCACACCAAAAAATTTCTCTAAAGTCTTATGAGTGGACCAGTCTATTTAAATAGTAGATTTTTTTTTTTTAAATCAATTTTTTTTTTAAATAAAATTTTTTTAAATCAATGTTTTTTAATCAATATTTTTAAATCATTATTTTTTTAAATCAATTTTTTTAAATCAAATTTTTTTTTAAAATCAAATTTTTTTTAAATCCATTTTTTTAAATCAATTTTTTTAAATCAACTTTTTTTAGATCAAATTTTTTGTAAATCAATTTTTTTTAAAATCAATTTTTTTAAATCAATTTTTTTTAAATCATTTTTTTTTAATCAATTTAAAAAAAAAAAATCAAAGCTTAGTTTCACAAATGTGAATTAATAAATGGAAGTAAAAGTTATTAAAGAGCAGTTCTGAGTTGTAATGGGATCATCACCAGAATATATTACCCACTTTAAACATCGATGTTTGGTTTCTGAAGAATTATTATTTGCACTTTAAAAAAAATTGTTGATACACTAACAATTCATCATAAATTGTTTTATACCAATAAATTTCTTAAAGTGTAAATAATTCTTATTTATGTGATCGCAGCGTAATTTTTTAAGAAGCTCTTCTGGAATAAATCTTTAATTTTTAGCTATAATGGGATATTTTTCTTTCTTGAAAGGACATAGCAATACAAAAAAAGAAAAATACAGTAACATTTTTAAATCAGCGAATTATCTCCCCTTAACTGTAATAATTTCAATTATAAAAAAAATTAGCATAGCTTACATTGGCACAATGCTACAGGAAGGGAGAACTAATTGGGTATCAAACTCACTTCCTAGCCCCCGTTCCATAGAAAGGACTCTCTAAAAGTACTGACTAAGTTTAGCATAGTGCATACAGTACAAAGCTACCAGTGTAAGGCACCGAGTGAGAATAGCTCGGCTCTTAATATTCTCCTGGTATCACCAAACGAAAACCAAAATGGATACTTTCTTTCATAATGAAAGACAAAAAACGCAACCTCCCGTTTTAAAATATTTGCCAAAAATCAGAGAATTATACGATTTTCAGGACTTATTCAGTAATGAATGAATATTTTAGTACACAGGTTATTTTATTAAAAAAACAAACAAAAAAAAAACTGGGGAAATATTGGGAGGATATATTTTACTCTTCTTTTCAATATCGCGTGTTCAATTTTTGATCTGTTCGTCCAAATTTTTTTACAGTTACATAAAAAGAAATCTCTGAAGATATTATTTCAGTAAAAAGATTATGCATTATTGAGTAGTGGGAACAGACGGAAATTCAGCCCGCTTCTTGCCAAAAACAATTCAATAAAACTCAAAAAAAAAAAAAAAAAAAATGTAGGGTGTGGATTGGTGCTTGCAAAATTCAATAAAAGATAGATTCGACAGAAAAATTCTAAACTTAATATTTATTTTTAAAAAAATATTTGTAATTTTTCAGTGCAATTTTAAAATTAATTCCGTTGCTGTTCGTCACAAGTGTTTATTTTATTAAATAAAGAAACATTTGAAGATTTAAAACATGTAAAGTTTAATGTCATTTTCGAGTGTACTCCTTTTTTAAAAGAATTTTATTTTCTTGTTTCTTTTAGCAACTGTTAGATTATTTTTGCTATGATGTACAAAAAGGAAAATAATTCTGATATGTCGGGTTGACTGAATATTGTTCATTATCGGCGGAGTAATTATAATTAATCTAATTTCATATCTTTGGTTCAGTCAGTATGAAAATAAAATTATTCATTCTACAAAGTTTAATAAAAGCATATAAAATAAAAAAAAAATGAAATTCTTAAACTATTGCTTATATAAATTTAACGAAAATTTGGTTTTAAACTTAAATAACAAATTCTTGATTATTGCACTGCTGGTCTTCCGTACTATTTTAGGTTTTATTTTTATTTTTATCCGCGCTTTTTTTTCGGTCAGGGGTGGAATTAGTGTTTTACTATGATGTCCTTTGACATCACAGGCTAGTGTGCGTAAATAAAATGTTATTTTCATTCTGTTATACGTAAAAGGTAAGCATTACTTTAAGAAAATCCAGTTACTCAATCCTTAAATTTAATAGTAGACTTTGAAACACACCTTTAAGGTAAATATTGGATTTTAAAGAGAATTTTAAATTTGTTGTTTACATTTTCGTATACAAACTCAGCACGATGAGTTACAAAAAAGTACTAAACTTTAAAAATGTTTAAAAAGTTTATTTATATACGGAAATTAATTTTCCTTTTAATTCGGGTTAGTTAAAAGAGTTTCTTTCAAATCGAACCGAAATTTAAGTTCAAAGAAGGCATTTAAAATATTAAAATATTTTTTTTTTTTTAAGAAAGTCCATCGTGGTACCGAAAATAGTTCAGTCGGACGGAGGAAGAAAGTTTTTGTTTTTCTCCAACATTTTTAGCTCCTCCCTTTCCATTTTCACACCTCCTTTCGCCCCCTCTTCCTTTCTCTAGACTTCTTACTTCCTATCTTTCAACTCCCCCATTCCCACTTTCTCTCTTTTTCTTACCTCCTACCTTTACTCCTTCTCACCTCTTTTCTCCTTCCTCTAGACTAGAGATATTACCTCCTACCTTTCCTTCTTCACACAGCCTTTCCCCTCACTCCTACAGTTTTCTAATCTCCTACTTTTCCTCCTTCACGCCTTCGTTTTTTTTACCCTTCCTCCTTTCCATCGCTTTATTACCTGCTACCTTTCCTCCTCCGTATTCTCTTTTTTCATCTCCCTCTCTTTTCATTATATATTCAGTATTTGGTTGTTTTTTGTTGTTGTTGTTTTTTTGTTTTTTTTTAACAATTTATCAACATGTTTAGATTGCAAGAATTCTTTTTCAAATAATAATGATTTATTGATCCCAGTCCTATTAAATAACCCATAGCCGGTGTGTGTGTGGGGGAGAAGAGGTAGATTGTTACCTTTCCCAAGAGTATTTGCTCGTAAGTGAATATAACAAAACCGACTGGAATTTGAACTCGGCTCTCCTCTTTCCAATTCCGAGTCATTAGTCATCACACCACCGGCACATCCAAACTGACAGCACTTGATATTCCCAAGCAGTCAACCGTCTAGGTACTGACCAGGCTCGATATTGCTTAACTTCAGTGATCGTACGAGAACCGGTATTTCGACGTGATATCACATGATGACGAGGGACTCAGCCGATGAGTTCACCCGCAGGATACAGACAGATATCAAAACTGGCATGAAGAGGTCGGCAGTAGAAGCCACCCAAGATGCAGAATCCAGCATGCGAACCAAGGGGAAATTTGACCCAAACCAATCGAGTTAGCCTGAGCAGCACAAGAAACCAGATTTTTCCAAACAGGGTCCAAAATGAAAACGAGACTTGTTGATTGAAGAAATCAGGAATTTTGAGGAAGAGCAGCGAACAGATACTGCTGTTTCTCAGTCTAAACAATGTGCTTGAACTACATGGAGTGATAGCCTGAATACCCTGATTACAATGGAGCCATTGGCAATATCATTCCTCCTGCGATCGACCTATGATCTACCAAATGCGACGAACCTCAAGCTGTGGGAGTACACTGACACCAATACGTGCGCATTATGTCAAAGTGATCGAGGCACTTTACGCCACGTCTTCTCTGCATACCAACAATCACTGCAGATGTACACGTGGCGTCATAACAAGGTGCTGGAAGGGGTCATGGACTTACTCAACACAGTTTGAAGCGGCCAATAAACAGCCTGTAACGGCAAGAGAACCTAAGATCCGTTTTCAAAAGGAATGTGAACGCCTGTGCAGAAGACCCAAATAACTCCCAACAGGACGCAACTGTGTGGAGCCCGTGATGGGAGGGTGTTAGTTGATCTTAGAACACCGCTGCAACTTCCGGTACACATCATTCAGACAGGCGCACGCCCTGACATTTTGGTGTGTCTGATTCAAAGAAATGTGTCCTCCTAGTAGAATTAACGGTTCCATGGGAGGAGAATAGGGAGGATGCGCACGAGTGAAAGAAAAACAGCTACGAATCGCTGTGATCCAACAGTGGAAAAGGGGTGGACATGTCATGTTCTATATATTGAGTTCGGGTACTGTGGATTCCTTGGACGGTCAATCGTTTCCTTCCTTTTTGAAGGTGGGCATCAATGGTCGATGGCTGAAGAGTGCTTCACTTAGTCTCCAGACCACAATTCAGTAGGCATCGAGATGGACCTGGTCAAGATCCAAAATAAACAAAATTAAAACCATACTCGCAACACAATGCTGCTTCCATTCTACGTCATTGCAAAAGCGAACGCTTTTAACGCAAAATCAGACTTGCAGTTGTATAAAAATCGTAGAGACTGCTGACACCTCTACACAAAAGCTGCTGGTGGCACCAAGGGTGGCAATATCGCCTTAGCAACCGAAACAGTGTTACCTCCCTTGGTCGACGGCTGATGAAGGCAGGGCATTGGCACGTGCTTTAACACCTTGTAAAAAAATTACCGTAAGCCAATATATTCAGGAATACTTACGTGAGAGAGACAATATATATATATATATATATATATATATATATATATATATATATATTAAGACATTTCTTATGTTTATACTTTCTTTTATAGATACAAATATTTAAGTAAATGCTCTGTTTATAATAAACAGTATTAACGACATTTACCGGCCTAAATCTCCGAGAAATGTCGTTAATTCTGTTTATTATAAATAGAGCATTTACTTAAATATTTATATTTATAAAAAGAACGTATAAACATAAAAAGATGTCTTAAAATAATCGTCGGACTTTGTCCATTTCATAATGTGTGACGTCATATATCTATATATATATATATATATATATATATATATATATATATATATATCTATGATAAAATAAAAGGACAAATAGAAAACGCATATTCATCTAACATGTTTCAGTTTTATTAAGGCTTCGTCAGAGATTGAGTGAAAACGGACAGAAAGACAGTATTTTTGTCTGTTTTCTCTAAATCTCTGACGAAGCTTCAATAAAAGTGAAACATGTTAGATTGATATATTCTTCCTATTTGTTCTTTTATTTTATCATCCTGTCGAATTCCAATCCATATTTGATCTGCATTTGGTATTTAACTTTTTTTTTTTTTTTAACTATGTAAAAATAATGCATTTTATTATGTCATTTGGGAGATTGTATCTCCAACACGAACAATCAACAAACAACATTAAATTCTTACACTGACATCACACTATCTCGTGCTTTAACTTGTCATTTGTCAAAATTTCGTGCAGTTCGCGAAAATATAGATGAACATATGACAAATAAAGAAAATAATAATAACATTAGACAAATTTTAGCTGAAAACACCAAAATTTTATACAGAACACTGTGCAAGGAAAAGACTCCAAATTCTGGACGGTGTTGTAATAGTTTGTTGTGAATACACACCGTCAGGTGCACAGGATCGCCTCATCAGTGATGTTATGACTTGGGTGTCATGACAAGTTTCGGGTCTCTTAACATCATACATATCTCCGTTCAAAATTATCTATCTATCTATCTATCTATCTATCTATCTATCTATCTATCTATCTATCTATCTATGTTAGTCTCTTCAAATATATCTTTCTCAGTCTGTTCAAATCTATCTATCTATCTATCTATCTATCTATCTATGTCAGTTTCTTCAAATATATATTTCTCAGTCTGTTCAATACTATCTATCTATCTATCTATCTATCTATCTATCTATCTATCTATCTATCTATCTATGTCAGTTTCTTCAAATATATCTTTCTCAGTCTGTTCAATTCTATCTATCTATCTATCTATCTATCTATCTATCTATCTATCTATCTATCTATCTATCTATCTCAGCTGTCCTTGGCGACCTTTTGCGGAACCTTCGAGTGGAGAATCGCTGTTTTAACCAATAGACACTTTGATTTAAACAGTGTTTGTTTTATTGTGGAAACTTTTTGGTATATTTGTAAATTATTTGTTATTCAGTAGAAAATAATGTTCGGGCGTGTTTTAATATGGTTTATATGTGGGTATGTAATTGTGGTGGAAATAGCATTTCTTTCCTATTAGAGCTTTACTGTGTACCAAAAAAAAAAAATTAATGCACTAAACGCAAACTTCTGTATTTGCTAAAAAAAAAAAAAAAAAAAGAAAAGGCGAAATGTTGTTCTTTCTTTAAAATAAGTTTGTTTTGTTCATTTGTCAATACTTGGCCACGCCTTACTTTTTCGAGCACATTTGTTTCGAGAGAAGCAACTGGAAAAATCATCGGTGTTCACAGGGAGTTTTTTATTTTTTTTTAAAAAATCAGTCCATCTGTTGTTAATTTATCGACCCCCCAAAAAAGCTATTTTTCGCAAGTGAAGCAGAGAAAAATGTAACTAGTTCTACCATATGTTACATAGGTGTTGTTTGCATCAGTTTTTCTTTCTTTTTCTATAATACATGCTACTTATCTATCTATCTATCTATCTATCTATCTATCTATCTATCTATCTATCTATCTATCTATCTATCTATCTAAGTCTGCCCAAATCTATCTCATTCTATTCATATCAATTTCATTCTAGTTCTATCTATCTATCTATCTATCTATCTATCTATCTATCTATCTATCTATCTATCTATCTATCTATGTCAGTCTCTTCAAATATATATTTCTCAGTCTGTTCAAATCTATCTATCTATCTATCTATCTATCTATCTATCTATCTATCTATCTATGTCAGTCTCTTCAAATATATATTTCTCTGTTCAATTCTATCTATCTATCTATCTATCTATCTATCTATCTATCTATCTATCTATCTATCTATCTATGTCAGTCTCTTCAAATATATCTTTCTCAGTTTGTTCAATTCTATCTATCTATCTATCTATCTATCTATTCATCTATCTATCTCATCTATCTATCTATATATGTCATTCAAATATATATTCATCTATCTATCTATCTATCTATCTATCTATCTATCTATCTATCTATCTATCTATCTATCTATGTCAGTCTCTTCAAATATATCTTTCTCAGTCTGTTCAATTCTATCTATCTATCTATCTATCTATCTATCTATCTATCTATCTATCTATCTATCTATCTATCTATCTATCTATCTATGTCAGTCTCTTCAAATATATATTTCTCAGTCTGTTCAATTCTATCTATCTATCTATCTATCTATCTATCTATCTATCTATCTATCTATCTATCTATCTATGTCAGTCTCTTCAAATATATATTTCTCAGTCTGTTCAGTTCTATCTATCTATCTATCTATCTATCTATGGGCGGCGCGTCTTACCCCAGAAACCCCCGACCGAGGGGGAATTTTTTCCCCGTTGTGGCCTCTGTCATTTTTTTCAGCACTGTTTTATGACCATCCATCATTTTTTTTATTACCTTAGTCTCAGTTATCAACTAATAATATGCATCGTGTATGGCCTGTGTGGTGCGTACTTACGCAGGACCCCCCCCCCTACAAGGTTGGAGTCCCAAAAGGGGATAGTTTCAGCAGCGTTTTATTTTATTTTTGCTTTTTGTACATTTTACTTTTTTTTTCTACCTATGTTATATTGTCAATCATCAGCTATAATAATCGACAGGGCCGGTGTTTAATATTCCGAATCTCTCAACTGCATCCCCCCCATATATACTAGGGAGGGGGAGGTAGGCACAAGTGCTAATTTCAGTAGCGCTTATTTTTTTTTAATTTGTATTTTTCTTTCTGAACAGTTCTTTTATATTAATTAAGAGGCTAATATATCTCGGTAAAATTATTTTTTATTTCGAGATCATTCATTAAGAAGGTTATCTGATTTATTTTTTACTAATAGTAATACTAACCAGAAGTTTACGTCTAGCAATTACAATAACATTTCTAGTCCCTATTTTTACATTTCTAGAAAGATAAAACAGAGAAAATGATTGCTTAAAAAAATTAAAATTGTTTAAAGTTTTAAACAATAGAAAAAATACTGTTTTTAAAATAATTTTTAAGACAATCCCGTTTGTGTTGTGTTGGAATCTTTGTAAGACTGTTTTTTTTTCTCATCAAAGACGCGTCGGCGATTAATCTTTATGGAAATGTAAAAATTTTGGGCATGAACATTTTTTTTTCGAATAAAATTTTGTCATGAAAATATTGGTGTTTATTACAAAATGAATATCATTTTCTTAAATGTTTTTAAAATAAAAAAAACAACAACTATTCATTATAAAGCAAATAATTAATGAATATGTACTGAAATTTTCATTTAAGTTGAATAATTCCCTGATTTTTGATAATTTAAAAATAGCGCTGCCCCTTACCTTGCAATTATTCTTCGAGGTTTTGTTTTTGGGTTGGGAAAGCTTGAAATTGATATGTAGTAGAGAGCGGGGCGTATCAAAGTTTAGTGGGAAACGTGACTCTAGCAACGGTCATCTATCTATCTATCTATCTATCTATCTATCTATCTATCTATCTATCTATCTATCTATGTCTATCTATCTATCTATCTATCTATCCATCCATCATCTATCTATCTATCTATCTATCTATCTATCTATCTATCCTTATCCATCCATCCATCTATCTATCCATCCATCTATCCATCCATCCATCCATCCATCCATCCATCCATCCATCCATGTCATCTTATCTCCATCCATCTATCCATCCATCCATCCATCCATCCATGTCTATCATCCATCCATCCATCCATCCATCCATCCATCCATCCATCTATCTATCCATCCATCATCCATCCATCCATCCATCCATCCATCCATCCATCCATCCATCCATCCATCCATCCATCCATCCATCCATCCATCCATCCATGTCATTTGCTTATCATCCATCCATCCATCCATCCATCCATCCATCCATCCATCCATCCATCCATCCATCCATCCATCCATCCATCCATCCATCCATCCATCCATCCATCCATCCATATCTATTCTATCTATCCATCCATCCATCCATCTATCATATCCATCCATCCATCCATCCATCCATCCATCCATCCATCCATCCATCCATCCATCCATCCATCCATCATTGCTTATCCATCCATCCATCCATCCATCCATCCATCCATCCATCCATCCATCCATCCATCCATCCATCCATCCATCCATCCATCCATCCATCTATCTATCTATCTATCCATCCATCCATCCATCCATCCATCCATCCATCTATCATCCATCCATCCATCCATCCATCCATCCATCCATCCATCCATCCATCCATCCATCCATCCATCCATCCATCTATCCATCCATCCATCTATCCATGTCATCATCTATCCATCCATCCATCCATCCATCCATCCATCTATCCATCCATCTATCATCCATCTATCTATCTATCATCATCTATCTATCTATGTCATTCCATCCATCCATTCATCCATCCATCCATCATATCTATCTATCCATCTATGTCATTGCTTATCCATCCATCCATCCATCCATCCATCCATCCATCCATCATCATCCATCATCCATCCATCCATCATATATCCATCCATCCATCCATCCATCCATCCATCCATATCCATCATTCATCCATCCATCTATCTATCTATCTATCCATCCATGTCATCATATCTATCTATCTATCCATCTATCCATCCATCTATCTATCCATCCATCCATCCATCCATCATCATTATCCATCCATCCATCTATCATCCATCCATCCATCCTATCTATCATATCCATCCATCCATCCATCCATCCATCCATCCATCCATCTATCCATCCATCCATCCATCATCCATCATCCATCTATGTCATCCATCCATCTATCTATCCATCCATCTATCCATCCATCCATCCATCTATCATGTCATTGCTTATCCATCCATCCATCATCCATCCATATCATCCATCCATATCTCATCATCCATCATCCATCTATCTATCTATCTATCTATGTCATTATCCATCCATCATATCATATCATCTATCCATCTATCTATCTATCTATCATATCTATCTATCATATCATATCTATCTATCATATCATATCCATCTATTATATCTATTTATCATGAATCTATAGAAATGGCGATCTATGCAATCTATCTATCTATCTAAATTCTATCTATCTATCTTATCTATCTATCTATCTATCTATCTATCATCTATGTTTGCTTATCTATCTATCTATCTATCTATCTATCTATATTATCTATCTATCTATCTATCTATGTTTATATCTATTTATCTGAATATAGAAATGGCGAGATGCAACCTTAAATTCTATGACATTTTCTTCTCTCGCACTTTATCGTTTGAGGAACTCTCTTCCGGTATTTTGCTTTCCAATCAACTTTGATCTTCAAAAATTTAAATGCAATAATCAAGCGTTATCTTCTGCAGGTAGCAGCTGACAAGGAGTCAAAGCTGACATCAGAAGACCTATCCCTAGGTAAATATGTCTTCTGGTGTCATCTTTGACTCCTTGTCAGTTGCTGCCTGCTGTTTTTTTTCTCTATCCTTAATAATGCTTACCTTTTCTCATATTCTTTCACATTCAATAACCCCTTGCATCTTAGTGGCTTCATTACCTTGCTTGGGTGAAATGATAAAAAAAAAATAGTGTGCATAGTGACGTAACAATTAGCAGTACGGAATCGGCAAACCGAGTTCGAATTTAAATTTAGGGTTCCCAGTAATGCGGTTTGAAAAATCAGGAACCCATTTTCTATATATATATATATATAATATATATATATATATATATATATATATATATATATATATATATATATATATATGTACGTATTTATTTTTTTTTTATATTAAACACACATCAGTATACGGTCCCTATGGAGAAAGACATTTGCTTTTATAATGAAGTAGAGATTAATTTTTACTAGGGGGGGGGTCAAATATATTTTTTTATTGTA